CTTAATGTTTTAACCCTAACCATAACTCATTGCAGAAGATATTTGACCTCGGCTACATACCCGCGGTCCATGGATCGCACCTGATCCCTTGTATTGACAATCATATGTAACCTTATATACTAATACCAGTATTTTTTCTTACATGTAATATAACTTAAATAACAATTTTTGTACTATAACATACTAATCATCTTGCATGCAGAACAAATATCTCCTACATTTTGAGTTATTCTTGACTAGCTACTATAAGATAAGATAAGATAACTTTATTGTTCCACAAGGGAAATTCTTCTGCTCGTCATCACATATAATATTATAAAATGGTAAGAACCAGCAACAGTACACCCATGCCAGGTATATTAATTTCATTATTACAATATCTTATAATGAACACATAAATAACAAAACAAACAAGCAGTGATGTTGTTAGTATATAGCTACGTAAAATTCAATAATTTTGCATATTTTTTGCTTTTTGTGTGACCTGTAGTCTGTGTGCACTGACCTATAATAGTAATAGGAAGCTTTTGATTGCACGACGACGGTAGGACGTAGAACGTAATGACGTCACTAAAAGTCATCTGCACATGCGAGAACGTTAAGGTCACCTCGTCGAGCAGATTCTGGAACGTTTGGGCAAATCTGCGTATGCAGAAAACATAGGATGCCAAGAAGGACAGTCACCCATGGGTGATTCTGTTCTATTGTCGTGTCGTCGCACAAATCGAAAGCTCATTATTATGTGTACTGACCTGTAGTTTTGGCCTGATGACCTTGACTAACGGCGGGTAGAAAGGGTAAAGGTCAATGGTAAATTCCAATTGTAGCTCAACATAATTGTAACCAAACCTAGCATTGATTTCATTCAGATCTGCAGCAATGTCACTGCAATCAAATAAAAAAGACCATATTCAATAATCAACTTAGCCATTTTTAATTTAGTTATATTAGTAGTATTGAATACTATGTTTACCTGTCTTCGCTAAACTTGAAGAGTTTTGCATGCCACTTGTAAATATTGTCCTTAATTGGCTCGGCCGAGAACTTCAATTCCTTTTGATACAAAAAGTTTAAGATTTATGTCTATTTCTTATCAGTGGGTTTCAATTTATATTGCGTCATTCAACATTTAAAGTCAGGAATACATAATTCAATGAGATTTCTATGTATGTCATTTGCAAATAAATATGTGAACATGTTTGTCATGTAAACAGAAGAGACAATTCTGGCATGAATATTCATGACAAAAGATGAAAGACTGACCTTTTTTGATTCTAAAATGGAGATGAGGTCATTTGCCAGTACCCCTGATGCTGCCTTTGTACTGAATATTTGTCTATTTTCCTGATTATTGCATCCACCTGTACATCAAGTATTCCACAATAATTGATCATAGCAAATGTTTTTTAATTCAATAGCAATGCATTAGGTAAAATTTCAAAAAATCAAAATAAAAATGCAAAATGGTAATATTGTATGTTCATTAAATAATTAATTTTAAAGTATTCACCCTGAAAAGATCACATTTTGTAACTTGGCTGTTCTAAATAAAATGCTATCCTTATGATACCAGTATCAACCAATCAGGGTGAGCCAGCAAATAATGAGATTCTCAGTGGTAGCAATAAATGAATATAACAATACATTTAATCTATTCATTATATTTTGCAATATAATGATAGATAAGCACCAAAATATAGCAAGAGATTTAATCTATTTATTATATTCTGCTAATGAAAGCATGTTTTACAGATTAAAGTACACAAATCAATCGTGATCTTGGTAAAGTAAAGGATGTCATTAAATCTAAAACTAAAATTAAATAAAACCGAAAATCGAAGGAAAATAAACAATGATCTTCTTGCCATAGCCAACAAAGAAACACAATGTTGTGTCTCGTGGCTCAAGCTTTAGGCTTATCCTAGTACGAAGAAGCTCCTTCAACGAACAACGTCGAATAGCGAATAATGACGGTTTTTAGGCAGACAATTCATATGTGGAACCCAGGGTCAGACTTTTCTATTTTTTTCGAAGGGGTGTTCTGTTTTAGGAACAATGGCAATTAGTCGGTTTATCCAGGTAAGTATTCACGAAATAGACTAAAATGTTGCCTATAGGTATTTTTGATACTATACCAACAACATAGTTTGTATTCAACAAAATATGGGTCAACAACCTTTTTTAAC